CCACCATCACCACCAAGGCAGTGCTACTGACTGAAGTTGTCTTTAGGCCATTCCCAAAGTGGGGATATTAACTCTTTCCGGACGTTTCGCCGATACATCGGCGAGAGTCCACACCCCTTGCGGACGTCTCCGATATATCAGCTGTGATAGGGTGCCTCCATATTGTTTCGTTTTAACACGATCCGTTGTTTATAATTACTCTTTATTGCTATTGAAAAACTCCGAAAGTATTAAGGAAACGAAAACATCTAGTTTCACTTTGTCAAAGTATGGGTTTGGGGAAAAACGAGTGAATTAGTTCTTGTGGTCTTGCATCAACAAAGCGATGTAACCTGACTCAGTATAAATATCATAACTCAAACAAAAATTGGAATATTACTTTCAAATAAAAACCTGCGCATTCAGAAATTTATGGATTATCTGGCATAAAATTTTACCAAATTTAGTACATACCGGGTACTTGGTTCATGCAAAGATCTAGAAGTGTAGTATGAGGTTTAGTATAAAAACAAAAAAAATTGATGGGAGATTCGAACAACCTCTAAATGCAAAATTAGCTTATGCCCCAATCAATTCAGATCATATTCTATTTTTCTCTTTAAACCTTCGATACACCGGTAATCTGTATTTAGATCTATTTCAGGTATTTTCTTTTGTTTTTTAAACGGTATGGCATGGTTTTAACTCTAAATCAAATCGTAAAATACAGCAAATGTCTTCCCCCATTTAATAGTAATAATAATGTAGATCATTTCTATATATCGACCACTCCCGTGTGAACGCAGCTTAAAGTGTTTTACTACATTAATTTTATTAAGGGAGAGTCTACGTACACGGTAAAAGGGGACCTAGCCTCAGTGTCTATGTATACGGTAACCGGCAAACGGGCACGTAGTCTCAGTGTCACGTACTCGGAAACCGGGCAGTTCAGAACTCCAAGTTCAGCTTTGTCATCTGGTGTTGCCTTCAACCCCAGCCCTCTCCCGACTGTACCTTTTTAAAAAATCAATAATCCTCCCGTTCCCGAGCCCTCTACTTCGCAGCGCACAGACTTTGAATGAACTTTGGTGACCCCAACCGGTACTCATAATGTGATGCAAAAGCACAGGTTCACTGACCGGTCACGATGGCGAGCCCGACAAGAGGCTTGTACATATGTATGACTTTCTTTTTTTTTTTTCAACAAGTGACAGCACTGGACAAATATTGATTTATTTTCATTGCAGTTACCGTGTACGTAGATATACTGAGACTAGGTGCCCGGTTACCGTGTATGTAGATACATGCATCATGTATGAACAACAATATTCACGAGCGCACGTGCATACACACACACGTACACCTTACATGCACACACACATGCACACCACACACACGCACAACTTTCTTATCACACTCGCACACTTGCACTTACACACATTAGATCTCTATGACACTATGTCTCAGTTTGTGTTGTACATTATGTTTTCCAGCCTGAATTTCTGGTTATAGCTTTTAGAGTACGCTCAGTAGACTAGAGCTAGGCCGAAACCATGATTTACGTAGGCCTATCAGCTCTGTATCGCACCATTTCGACTTAAAAATTCTTGTAAAATTAAAGCGTTGATGCTATTTTGCCTAAAATTGCAAGAAATTGTGAAAATTGCATAAAAATGCGGGTTTATTGCAAGCCGCAAGACCGCGATTTCCTGGGGGGGGGGCCAGGATTAAGCTCTTGGCCTGTATATGATAAGATAGCTATGCTGATTTGCTTTCTTTCACATGTTTGGTGAATGTAATTTTTTCCGTCAAAATTTATTTTTCTCATCACCATCGCCATTTCAAAAGTAATCCTTCTTTCATATAGGAATGTATTCCTCATTCAATTTCCTTCAATTTGATATATTATATTAATAATATTATGCTACGTTTCGAGTGACTTCTATGAAGTTATTTTGTACACCACCTATATAGCGAAATCGAGCCACAAGTTAATTATGTATAGAGATTTTTAAAAACTACGTCCGGAAAGAGTTATCATGTTCTTAAACAAAATAGAATAGTAAATGGGCTGATTTATCAATGTTATGCTCATTCTGTGCCGGAACAACATAGGAGGAACTGCTGCTTTTTCTTTCCTCATCTTTACTATCGTCATTTTTTCCTCTACTTCTTTTTTACGTTTGCCACTCTCTTGTGAACTGCTATTTCTGGGGTGCCTTGATAGTCAAAGCAGACTTTGTGCCGTTGAGGCTAAAGAGGTGAGCAGAGTAAACCTGTTTGGACTTCTCTGCTAACATCTACCCCTTGGCACTCATAAATCATATGACCTTATGCAGTTGCAAGCACCGTAAAACCTTACTAAGAAAAGAAAAAAAAACCCTCCACCCCATTTAATGCCAAATAACTCGACTTCTCTTCAAAATAGATGGGTTTTTGTTTTTTTCCCACCAGAGGCTGGACAAATTAAGAAAAGCTTTAAGATGATATCCATAACTCCTTATGCCCAAAAATTGACGAGCAAGTAATTCCACCACCTCGTGACACAATAATTTTTGGGAAATTAAAGAACAGGTCTCTTTTACTGTTCTTTCACTGGATGAAGAACTATCAAAATAGGTTAACTTGTAGGCCAGGGCAAAATCAACTTTATTAGTCAACTAGTCGGCTGTGAGCCCAAGATCGACGCTGTGACCCTCATCTACCAGTTGCTCGTGACTCTCGACTCTCGGTTACCTAGCCTAGCCTTGATCAAGACCAGCCTCCCCCGCCCTTCAACGG